TATTTATTTATTTATTTATTTATTTATTTATTTATTTATTTATTTATTTATTTATTTATTTATTTATTTATTTATTTATTTATTTATTTATTTATTTATTTATTTATTTATTTATTTATTTATTTATTTATTTATTTATTTATTTATTTATTTATTTATTTATTTATTTATTTATTTATTTATTTATTTATTTATTTATTTATTTATTTATTTATTTATTTATTTATTTATTTATTTATTTATTTATTTATTTATTTATTTATTTATTTATTTATTTATTTATTTATTTATTTATTTATTTATTTATTTATTTATTTATTTATTTATTTATTTATTTATTTATTTATTTATTTATTTATTTATTTATTTATTTATTTATTTATTTATTTATTTATTTATTTATTTATTTATTTATTTATTTATTTATTTATTTATTTATTTATTTATTTATTTATTTATTTATTTATTTATTTATTTATTTATTTATTTATTTATTTATTTATTATGATAATTATTTTTATTACATACAAGGTTAAATTACAGTTGCCCACGTTGCTCGGATGTTAAATTGATCAATGTCCAATTTTCTGCTGGTAAACTCCCACGTGATGAGAAGTACATCCAGGATACAAGAGCACGTCGCGAGTAAGATGTTTCAGATAAGTGAAACAAGATTTAATCAACTCTATATTTCTCTTATCTTTATACCAGGCTACAGGATACATTTTTTTTTATAGAAAAATTTGCTACAACATTTTTTTTTCCTCAATAAATTTTCAATTTAATTTTTTTTTTACAAAAAAAATTAAAACTAGCTTGACAAAGATTTACTAATTTAATTGTCGGAAGATATTAAAGAATAATATTCTTTTATTAAAAAGTAATATTTAGTAACGCACTCTCCTAAGCCGACGAAACTGTTCACTCGACAAATTTTTGAACAACATTGATCTCCGTCCAAACACTAAAATAAAGTTATTATTGTTATTTAAAATGTATATTTAAAAGCGCTCATTATTAATATCATAACAATAAGATATAAAAAAAATTTTAATTACTAGCAACCTTGCAGTCACTACGTGACTGCCGTAGTGGACTATAAATAAAATTTTGCATCATTAAATAATGACTTTTGTTAAATTGCACTGTACTTTCATCACAATTGACGTTTTTAAAGATATAAGCTCATCCCGACATTACACTCATCGAGACCTTTCATTTGAGTACCCTCATCAATTTCTCATATATTTTATATATTTATATATATATATATATATATTATATACATGTATACATAAAAAATATATCAAAAAATGCATGTGGGTACTCAAATGAAAGCTCTTGATGGGTGTAACATCGGGATGAGCTTATATCTTTAAAAATGTCAATATTTAAGAAAGTACAGTGCAATTTATTATAATTAAGAAATGACCTGAAGTATTATATATATATATATGTATATATCAAAAATGCATGTGGGTACTCAAATGAAAGCTCTTGATGAGTGTGACATCGGGATGAGCTTATTTATTAAAAAATATCAATAATTAAGAAATGACCTTGTATCCTGTAAACTATTACCATTTTTAAAGATATAAATTCACCCAGACATTACACTTATCGAGACCTTTCATTTGAGTAAAATATATGCTTATATTTTCAAAAACGTCAATATTTAAGAAAGTACAGTGCAATTTAACAAAATTCATTATTTAATAAAGCGAAATTTTTGTTTATTTATAATTCACAAGTCACGGTAGACACATAGTGACTAATTATAATACTAGCTGCGATGGTAATAATTACCATCATGATTGTAGAATTTACAATCAACATGATTTTAGCGGTTAACATATATTATGATTAAGTTTACCATCTTCAAGTTACCAGCCAAATGGTAATAATTATTATCCAGATGGTAAATGTAACTATCTGGATGTTTCAGTTAACAATTTGGATAGTTCTTGCAATCAGTCATACTAAGAAGCCTGTTTTTACAATACTCGGATAGTTGTATTTACTATTAAATTCTCTCCGTATATTAATAGTATTGTAATGCGACTGCTGTGATATGAAGGATGAGGTGTGTAAAAAGTTGAAAGAGAGTACAAGCAGTTGAATTTTAAGCCAAAACTAGTTTATATGCAAATGTAAATAAATAAATTAAGATACAGTTTTGTAAAACGCAACATATGATACAAATAAAAACGATATTCTATTCTAATTTACAATTTCAATTTAATAAAAAATTTAAATATTAAATTGAACATGTGTTTATTGATTTATATTTTTCAATTATTATTTTTGATACAATCATTCTATCTACATAACAAAGAATGAAAATGTTGATTTTGTAAATTAAAGCGAATATTTATTATTTATTTACGATGTGTTTCATATTGACAAATAAATAATACTATTTTTAAAAATTCAATTTAGTACAAGCCAGTAATCGAATTTTTATAAAAAAAAAAATGAATAAAGTTTATTGAATTAATGTAACGAAATTCGTTTTGCCGTTAACTTTTTACAGCTATCGGCGTGAAAATAAGCGAGTTGTAAAACCACAATTTTTTTTTTTATAAATTGCACGCTCTGGGGTCATTCAGGGATAATTTTGAACTTTTTGTCTCTATTTCCAATATTTTCAAATATTATTTCGGCAGTTAATTCTAAAGTAAATAAACCTTTATAATACACACGATGAAATTGTGACGAGTATAGAATTCTTTTGGGTTTGATTGGTGAGTCAATAGTTGGATTTTTCTCTCCATACGTAAAAGTAAAATAAAAGAAAATCAACAGCAGAAAAAGCTGGAAATTTTTTTAATTCTTTTTTTTTATATCTAAAGATTTTTCTAATTACAAAATAAATAAAGTTATTGAACAGCGCTTCGGCTTTTTACAACAATATCACATAAGTTTTCTTAACTTCAATAAACTATATAGAACTAATTTCTATTAAAGTACAAGTTTTTTCTTGTGAACCAAACCATTATTACTTCAATTTATATTTTTCTTTCTATAAAAATATTTTCTAAAAAAGCACGAACCAAAATTTTCATTTCTTTAAAAATGACTAAATGTAAAAAGTTATGAAATAAAAAGTCTACTTTCATTTCGAGTGCTGAATGACTTTTTTTACTGTTAGTAACTCATAACATCTTGGTGGGTAGAAAAAATGATTACATCAGCATTCTACATACTACTAATATACCGTAAGATCATAAATCTTACCATCTAACATTATTAATATAATAATATGAGTTTTCTTTTTATTATTTTTTACAAAATATAATTTATTTATTTAATTTCTATTCTACAAAAAATAAAATTGTAACGTTCACACAATTTACTAATTATAATCATATATATTTCGTATATATAAATATGTTGGCAATAATAATTTTATTTTCATCTCAGATTAAAAAAACTGACCCTTAATTAGAAGAGATAATTTTATTTTCTACATTTATTAATTTGTTTTTTTTTTTTTTTTTAATATTATTTCCAAACAAATAAATTTCAATATTAAATTTTTTGTGTACACGGAAAAAAGTAAACTGTAATATTCACTCGGGTTCCGGTTCATTTTTATAGTTTCAAACAGTAAAGCGAACATCGGGGTAGCAAAATATAAATATTACAGAACTTAATGTAGAAAGTATGAAAGCCACAATTTATAATTTAATATACAAAATAAGTGATTAGTAGCTGTCACTATAGTAAATAACGACTCTTTCATCTTAAAAAATTACAGTTTCATACAGTAAAAATTGCCATTTCAATATAGAGTCCATGTTATGAGGAGAAGGGGAACTCAGATGAAAGAGAAGGGAGTCTCACTCTGGGAGAATTTAACATTTGAAACAGTAAAAATTATACTTTTAAAATATACATTTTACCAGTCCAAGCAAGTCAATAATTACAGTTTGATTTTTAGCGTTGCGTTTAAAATATACCATTTTACTTTGTAAATATTGACGTTGCTTGTATTAGAAATTTACTAACTTTATTTTATACTTTTTACATATCATAAGATCATTTTTTAACTACGAAATGATAAATATCAAAGTCTGAATTCTTAATTATTATACTTAAACATTTTAGACATTTACATAGCGAATATTACTGTTTGAAATAGTATTTTCTTCCATGTATAAAGAAAATTGTAACATTTAAATGATAAATATTATAAAGTGAATAGTAAAATCATGATTTTACTGTTTGAAATGGTAATTTTAAGCAGTTGATCATTACTTATTATAAATCAACTGTTATTTATTACAGTCTACTTTTTTCCGTGTAAATATAAATTTAATCTTACATTATTATCTAACAAATTAATTTAATATTTTAATTTCAGACCAACGGAAGATAGTTTCAATTCCCAAGTCACCGTTGACATCGGCTCTACTTATCCTCATGAAAATGAAATACGGCAGATTTTAGAAGACCAATTACATTTCCACGCACTAGGAAATATTCAAACTGAACCGACAGGATTTACGTTTAGAAGTATTCAAGGTAATTTAATAATCACTTTATATTTAAAGTTTAAATTTGATTGTTTGTAATTTGACTTAAATTGTTGTTTTGTCATGATTATATTTTATTCTATGTTAACCCATCATATTCTATTAGTTTTTCGTTGATTATTATTATTATTACCTTTTTTTTAATAAGACACTGCACCAGAATGCGTTGAGCCGACCAGCTTGAAATGCCGAGACGGTTCTTGTATACAATTGAATTATCGTTGTGATGGTATAGCACAATGTCCTGATCAGTCCGATGAATTGGATTGTCCAATAAGCTCTGGGTTTCCCACCAATGAATCTCGAAATGGTTTCACTAATAATTGCCGTGGCGATGACACAGTAAGATGCAGTGATGGCAGTCGAGATATTTGTTCCGTTCAATTATGCGATGGAGTTCCCGATTGCGATGATCAAGGCGATGAGAATAATTGTGGTGGTCCTAGTATGATTTATTTATTTATTTTTTTTTCTTCATCTCATTTACATGTTAATCTTGATTCTTTCTTTATTCGAATTATTTTATGAAATTATTGCGCTACTGTTTATGTCGTTTAAACTTTATTAAAACATTACTTATCATTTTCTAACTCTATCTGACATCGATAATGTCGTAATGAAAAAAAAAATAAAATTGTTTTTAAATTTACCAAATTTATTTTCAGGTTGCAGTGAAAATGAATTCAGTTGTGACGTTTCTCGTTGTATTTTGGATAAAGATCGTTGTAATTTTATCCAAGATTGTGAAGATGGTAGTGATGAACGAGGCTGCAAGTATCCAGGTGAGTCAGTTATGGTAATTATTTTTAACTCACAACTATATTTTTATTCCATTGTATTGTACTGTCTGCTTAGAAAAAATTTGTCTTGTTGTGACATTTTGTCTGCATTATAATTTAAAACGAATTTAAGTATGCAATTTACATAAATATATACTTCAAATAGGAGACGGCGTACCCCAAAAAATTTTTTTTTCAAAAAGCTATTAAAATTCTTAAAGATAGATTTAAATATTTATCTGAACTCTAAAATTTTAAAATAGATATTCTTTTTAAAAAGTAAAAAAGAAAGTTTTTTTTCTGCAACTTGTTACTTACATGGTTAAAAAAATTAATCATAAATGGCCAAAATAGAACTCACTCTAAATCAGGAATCCAATAGACAATCTGTTCTCGTTTTTGTTTGCTTTTTTTTTTTTTAATTTTGAATTAGTTTGTTGGTCCGAAGTCGAAACCAAAAGAAAATATTCTTTCAGTTATATGCGTGTTAAATTCTGACAATCTATTTACGTCAAGTTTATTTTCAGTATGGCTATCTAAAGGGAAAACGCCTCAAAAATCAGTTCGTGTCAAATTAGTATTTAAATGTAAAGCAGTATAACATTAATCTGATCGATGCACAGATTAGTATAAGACCTTGTGACATTATATTCTATCATAAAAGCATGGCTAAAATAGAACGATATAATATTTATGTAACATATTGACAACAAAACTTGTATTTCGACACCAAATCGCCTTACAGGCTAAAATCAATCTGACAGTCGTTATGAAAATTAGAGCCGCTTATAAGTAATTGAAAGAGTTTTTCTGAGTTGCCAATTAACATGCATAAAATAATAAATTAATATACTATCAATGAGTAAAAAGTATTGTTCGAATAGCAAAAATTAATATGACTGCAGACTGGTAACTTGGTGGAATTAAATACCAGAAGTACACCAACTTCAATAACCAGAAATAAAATCAAAAATTGGTAACTTTTGGCAAGAATTCGAGAGAATAAGTAAAGGTTGTAAATAAATTATCAGAAAATTTATATGCAATTTGACTTCAAAAGTTATGTGTACCCAGTTAGCACGGGTTGACCATCAACTAAGTTGATGTTCAATGGTTTACGTCAACTTTACGTTAACTTTGAGTCAACCTCTGCATTTGCAACAGTTTTTCAGAACTTGACTTATAAGTACAACTGTTGCTCTACTGTTAGCGTAAGCTTTACGTCAAATTCCGGCCGTAGGTTTACACGAACTTCCCTTGATAGCCAAGTTGGTCGCAAATTTCTGTCTATCTACTGCCGCAACTTGTCACCAAGTTGGCAGCAAGTCTTTGAAATGAACTCGGTTGGTGTCAACTTGTTCACCAAGTTGTCACCAAGTTATCGGCAAAAATTGCTTTCGAAACTTTTTCGCACCAAGTTGACGACAAGTTTCTCAAGAAATTTGGCGACATATTGCGGCAGTAGATTGATCTTGTTTTTCTTAGAAACTTGTAGCTAACTTGACGCCAACAGTTACAAATTCGGAAGTTGACCGCAAGTTGTCGCTAAGTTGGTGGCAACTATCTGACACCAACTTGGTTGGTCTGAAACTGTGGCAATCACCCAGTTAGCACAGGTTGACCATCAACTATTTGATGTTCAATAGTTTTACGTCAACTTTATGTTAACTTCGCGTCAACCTCTGCATTTGCAACAGTTT